TCCCAAGATGAAGATAGTCTGCAAAGACTGATCCACAGATTTAACATAATAGCAAAAGAATTTAATATGACAATCTCATCTCAGAAAACTAAAACGATAGTAGTCAGTAAAGAACCAACAGATGTAAAATAGAAATTGGTGGCATCAGTATTGAACAAGTAATGGAAATAAAATAGCAAGTCCCTATTCCAAGTTCATCGTATAGATTTTTATCTAGTTAGGACTCTCTTTCACGCCTTCACTCATTTTTTGTTCTTTGTCGTAAATATAGCTTCTTCCTGACCTTTTTCCATCATCGACCATTTGATTTTATGTGGGACTCTTCGGTAGTTTGGTTCAGTTCGCCTTTTTCTACTCCAATCAGCACAAGGAACTTATATGTGTTTGAGAATTATTTGTATTACTTTTGTATGTTATAAGTTGACTTTATCTCTTTTCCAAGAATATATCTTGTACTCGATGAAAACAAGTAAGAGATTCTATGAAAATTAGATTAAAAAAGAAATATCCAAAGTAAGATAATTTTTCATCCATTCATTTCATCCACATTATTAGTGTTACAGCGCTTACAGGTCCCCATTGTAGTCAAGTTTCAAAGCATAGCTTTGTTATCAATGAGAGATCGCGTGGCCACACACTATGTGGAGTAGACAACGCAGTCGCATACGTGTTTCTTAAAAAATGGATCCATTGGTCCATGCGTAGACGATAAGACAGCTATACTTCCCTTCTTAGGTCTCTCCCGGAGTCGTACATCACTTTTTATATTTCATTTTAGTGCCCAGGTTACATGCCGTGCCTATTCAATACGGATTTGTTCGATTGCCGTTATAATATCTTTTCCATCGAACTTATGCTTGTATATATTCTGTAGATCTAAGTTGTACTTGTGCCTCCATGTTCCGTTTTCACAATTCGCTCCAAAGATTTTGTGTAGTATCTTTCTTTCAAAGATAGATAAAAAAAAGTGAGAACCGAATATATGATATCCTCATTTTTTGAGATAACCGTTTGTTAGTTAGATATTTTGATAGGGAATAATAGCACCCGTTTGTCAGTATGACACCTCTTTTTATTATTGTTGACGTTTTTGGAGTCGACCCGTACACTGTCTCTCTCACATCGTCAAAGTCTTGATTATTAGTAGTGAGAATTACATCAATATTTCTAGCTTCCGTGTGCGTTGGTAGGCATAAACTTTACTTTGGTTTATATATAGTGGCATTCTTTCTGCTGCCGTTGTTAGATCTGTTAGGACTTCACTGATTCTTATTAGGATGTCCACGTCGTTAGTACTAAAGTATCTTTAAGGGCCATGTCTGTGATCAAGCGTTGGCTATCATCTTGTTTATAAGTTCTTGGAATTTTTCTTTACCAGCTGCTGCGCGAAATAGTTCTTCAGCTATCACATCGCACCATTGTCTAATATTGCGCTGCCAAGATATCTTTTTACGCCTTCCACTTTTCCGTGTATGGTATATGTCCATAACTCTCCATTTCTCTTCTCTTTGTGGTTTTCAGCAGCCACCATTCTGAGAACATTCTTGTTAAAAGTCTCACGATATTCTTAGAATACAGCGGTAACATCTTATTTCAAAAGATTCTAGGTTGTTCAACGTTGTTGCTTTTAGAATCCATGTCTCACAACCATAAAATAGGATCGACCGAACATAACATCTCAAAACCAATTTACGAGTATTTAATTACAGATTCCTATTACACAGAACTGGTTTATATGTCATAAATGCCTTACGTGATACTTTCAGTAAAGTATTACTTTATACTAATTTCAGAAATTCTCTAAAGCTTCTACAGTGCATTTTAGTTACCAACAATTACATTAGAAAAAACGTGTTAATCAATTAAGAGGTATTTGAAGAACAATTAAACTAAGAGAGTATATTATGACAATGGAAACAAGTTAATCTTGGAATTAAATTGCCTATTATACTACTGTATATACTATATAGCAAGATTTGCAAATTTAAATATTAACAATATTGCATTTTCTATCAATAATCAAGGTTCGTCTTACCTTTATTATCCAAAATATTTAAGAAATTGTAAGTAAAAAAGTGTACAGATACTATCCCCTAACGAACCATTAAACCAGCTTTGTGGAATGGCAAACAATAATCAGGTACTACAAGAGACATTTGATATATCGTAGCATGTGAAAGTAAAGACCATGTCAGCCAAGTTATATTCGATGTTCAGACGTAACTATTTACTCACTGACAAAAGTATTGCATACTGTATTTTGAGTCTTTATTTTTTTTTCGCGATTTATTTTGTTAAATAAGTAGATAAACAATGCATGTCCGAGTCTAACATTGATCATTCTCCTTGTAAATCTCCATAATAAAATCGTAAGGTCCAAAACAGCAAATTGGCCACAAAGTCGCTCAGCTTTAGAACGGCTCGTTTTTCTACCTAATCCCGCATTTTTTATTGTTTTTAAAGCGATAAAAATCGATTGAAATTCGATAGTTTTTTATCATTTTTTTAAAGTCATAAATCCATCGTTTTTTAACGTTAACGCACTAAAAAACCTTATTTTTCAATGATTTTACATATATTTATATGGCATAAACAACTGCATAAAGCGTCAAAAAAACGATCGAGTTTCAATGGATTTTTGTCACTTAAAAAAACGATTTAAAAATCGATTGAAAAATGAGCCCTTCTCAAGCTGAGCGACTTTGTGACTAATTTGCTATTGTTGACCTTGGATTTTCTTATGGAGATTAACATAAGAAAATGATGAGTTTTGGACTCGGACACACATTGCTTATCTACTTAAATTTTGTTTGTTCACTGGAGCGTTCTTTACTTTTTCTGTAATTTGTTATTTTTAAGCGAATAAGCGATACAAAATAATAACTTATCATTGTGTGATTTGACGAAGAAAACAAGGAAATTATTTTTACTTGCCGGTGTCAGAATATTTCCACTGCTTTTTCGCTCAGCTTTGAAGTTATCGAGAGTGCTCATTGTATCATAAATGGTTTCTTTAGCCCATGGAGAGTATTCCACAAACATTGAATATACACAAATCGACAGTATCTCATGTACGAGTATAAAGTGAAACTGGAGAATACAAAAGATGTTCCGGTCAAGGGCGTAAAAGATATACAGTATTAATAGAAAAACAATATTTGAAACTAATGAGTTTAAAATTTGTATGAAATCGCACGAAACAACACCGAAAAAAAAAATAAATTGTTAAATTTAAGTTCATGTTAAAGACAAGTAAATGTATCAATCAAAAGAGTAATGAGAACATTTAAGGAGAGCGGTTTAAATCCACAACGACCAACAAGCTTTAATCGGCTTTCTACATATCACAAAATTCATCCGGAACCTTGAACGTGTCAAGATTACAGCGATTGAGTGGCCAGGAAATAGTTCTGACAAGAATTTCATAAATACCTATCTATTGACAACGGAAACGAAATATACGAGCACGAAATCCAACTCTTTACTTAATTCCATAATTAAGAATTGCTGCACAGCAGAAATGGTATTAAATTCCACAAAAATTGCAGGCTAACTGCTTGTTTTAGCCATAAAACAGCAGTTTTAATAATTCCTTTAGGAATATAAGAGATATATAATTTAATAAGAGGTGCAAGAGGGCCAGAGAGCCCAGGCGGTAGAGTGGCTGACTAACAAGCAGAAGAGTGAAAATATCTAGGGCCTCAAGTCAACTCAGACCGAATAAAATGAGTACCTTGGATAAACCTAGGGTCAGTAGGCGGTTGAAGCGTAGCACTGGCCTTGTTACCTTACTTGTATACCGTAGGCCAAAGGGATAACAGACTCCCTATAGTCCCAAAGCTGTACAAGCGGCATACAGGGATACTCTTAGTATTATATTCACGTAAACATATTTTTTAAATAAAACTCATATTAGAAAATAATACATTTTCTATTAAAACTGGATAAAATTACTATTCAAATCATGAATGTGTGCTTGTGTGAGTGCATTTTAAATAGGCAAAAAAGAAATAAAAAAGAAAAATGTTCTCCCAACCATTAATAAATCTTGTACCGGCATCATTTAATTAACTTACTGACCTGAAGATGCTTTGCAAATTGTAGAAAGCGAAACCGGTCGTCCAGATAGTTAAATTAAACTGATTGTGAATAAGTCTTATTTCTTTTCTACCTATTTAAAATTGCTATTATTCACAATCTCACTTCATGTGCAATCACTTTAGTAGATGATGTGTCAAATCAGCAAGTTAATACTGGACATTTACCATGTGGAATAAATTTGGCTCAAAGGAGCTCCTATCACGGCTAGCAGACATCAATTGAATCATAAAACTAAATAAATTAAGTGACTAATTGAAACTGGAAAACTTGTGTAAAGCAGTAATATAATTTATATGGATATCAATGACACCGCAAGAATATGCGTCGTTTTAAATCAATCACTCACCTGTTTCGTAATCACAAGCCACAGAATACATAAATTTGATATAAGATCGGTGAAATTAAAAAGTTCATTCAAAAATTAAATTAATATGCTAATGGATCTCGGTATGCATTGTATCATTCCTTTCCCTAAAGTACTGTTATACTTCTTACACGTTTATACTTTTACACGTAATCGATTGTATAAATTTATAAACAAAAAACACAAAAAAATATTTACTTTTTATTTGTAGACTAGTAGTTAAAAAAATGTTTTATGTGACCAAATTACAAATATAAATTTTTCATAATCGAATAACGTGACCTACAACTTCGATATAAATCGCTATGTTGAAAGAACCACAATTTACTACATAATAAACTAAATATAAAATTAATACAACATTTAAACATGATAGAGCAAAATACTTATTTTAATCATTTGTGTCTGTTGAGTTATAACGTTAACATGCACATATATGTATTTTTTCTTTAATACCGTATTGAGTGGTATAAGTGGGTAACACAATAGGTAGTCTTATTAATATAAATAAAATTATCATGTCGTTTTTCCGTAGGTCACCACCAGACCACGGGAAATATGACCGAAGTGATAGAAAAGCATGGTGAGCAGATTTTAGAGCCAAATCTTCAAGTTTCTTCTGTCCTTGAAGACTTTCAGCCACCAGTTGGCGATGCTACTTCTACTAATAATACTACAAATGTGATACCCACCAGCACTCAGTACGGTGTCGCCATTATTCCGAACACATCTACTGTAAATGATCTTGCAACAGAGACTGTCACTCCATCTACTGAAACGTTAACTGATACTACATCAAAAGCGCCAGATGACAAGGAACTTCATTCCACGCCTAGTAGAAATGATAGATTTAAAGTAGTAAAAATAGCTAGTTTAGAGCCTTTTAAACGTGGTCGTTGGAAATGTATGGATTATGTTGATGAAGCACCCCCGGTAGGAGCTGCTAGAGTGCCTCAATCATCTGGGAGTATACAAATTTCAGCAGGTACATACATGCAAACTCAAAGTTTGCCACAGCAACAGTTTCAGCAAATGCTTTTACAAACTGGATTTACTGCTAATGGTACCCAATTCTTTACAAATGTTCAGCCACAGATGATTCCACAAGGTCAATACTTCTACCCACAAGTAGCAAATGTGCAAAATCCAGCAATGCAACAAGTGCCAAATACCATACCTGCTCAGTTCATTACAAATCAGCCATACTTTCCAGCAGGAGTTGTTCAAAATGCACAAGGCTTTACAATACCCCAAGGATATTCCAATGTACAGTATGTTCCTGCAAATCTCATTCAGAATCAAAATAGTGCATTTGTACCTACTTCATCACAACCAGTTCAATTACCACCAAATTTTCAACAAAGTCAGTCGTATGCAGGCCAACCAAATGTTTCTCAAACTAATGTTCAGACATTAATGAACGGTCATACATTTACCCCCCAGAACGAGCAAGTTAGTGGGAGTTTACCTTCACAGACTGTTAAAAGTGTAATAATGAACTCAAATAATACTCAGCCGGCTGTAAGTCAAACACAAGTTTTACAACAAAACGTCCAAAATGTCCCAGTGCAAGGTAATCAAAATGTTGCTCAAGGACAAGTGTATCAGCAGCAGAGTGCATTTCCACAGAATACTGCAACTCAACAACAAACAGTTGCTCCTGTTGTAGTTCCAGTCCAAGTTCAACCTGTGATTTCCACATCACAGGTTGCCCCTGTGCAATCTCAAACGTTTGATCAAAGTTTAGCTAGTAATGTTTATACAAACCCTCAATTTGCTGTTAGTGTAAGTAGTTTGACTGTCCTTGATAATAGTGAAAATGCCACAGAACTGACTGAAACGCAGAGTGGCGGTAACGCGAATGTAAGTGAAAATGTCGATGATCCCGCTAAAACTAATCCTGTGGTTAATGCAATTGATAATAAAATAGAACAAGCTATGGATCTTGTAAAAAGCCATCTTATGTATACTGTTAGAGAGGAAGTGGAAGTATTGAAAGAGAAAATAGCTGAATTAATGGAGAGGATTCAGCAATTAGAAACTGAGAACAATTTTCTTAGATCTCAAATACCCAAGTCACAGAATGTACCATCTACACCTGCTTCTACTATCCAACAATCCACTGTAGTCATTAATCCTAACTCTAATTTTTCTAATACTGCTCCAATAGTTGCATCCGAAACACCAACTGCAACTAATACTAGCCATAATCCTATCCCCAATACACAATCTCATTCAATACCCACCAGTGAAACACTGAATCCTCAGTAATTTGTTCAGTTATTGGTCTTTCATACTCCCTAACTGATTTATTGTTTGTATTTTGACAAATATTTTACCTTCTGACTTATACAGTGCTGGTAGGACAAAAAACACTAAAAATTGTATATAAAAACCAAATTTTATTACAAATTTTTATTTATATAAATAATTAACGCTTAAAATTCTGAAATTGCTGGTCAATTTTATCTTTATTTATCTAGTTGTAAAATATTGTGTAATAAGAAAAATATAGACAATTTCTACTTTTAAATTTTGTTTTAATTAATTGTTGAATTGGATAACAAAAATATAGAGAAATTTAAGATTTTATTCGATTTCAATTATCTTCCGGATTTGGACTTGGTCTTCATCAGGAGTGTCAATGAAAGAGTAGATTGTGTGTAAACCAAAGGCAAAAACAGAAAGAAATAGATGAGTACTTGCGTTGTTAAAATGACTACCTATATACTGAGTGACAAAAAAGGTAAATATATTTTAGCTGGTTCAATAATGTGTTAATTTCGTATGTAATATATACATCTTCTTCTTTTTATATAGACATGACTCTGTCTGTTTTTCAATGTGCCTCCAGTAAGTTGTCATTCCATCGTTTTCGTGGTCTTCCTACTGATCGTCTTCCTATTGGGGAACCGTCTCATGCCGTCTTTAGTACTCTATTTGTTGTCATTCAGCTTATAGATTGTTTCATTGTACTCTTCTATTTCTTACCCAGTTCTTATTCTCCACCTTGCATCTACGTCGTATATCTGTACTTCGAGCTCTGCCCCATAGTGTCTTACCATCAATTGTTTTAAGCGTTTTCATCTCTGCTGTTTCTAACATCCTTTTGTCCTCTCTGTATTAGATCTTGTTTCTGCCAGAATAAGTAATATATAAATGTAATATATAAATAATTTCGTATACACTCATTGACACGCCTGGGCATAGTCGAAATCCTGTTGAAGTATCTCTTTCCGGGTTACTGCAACCTCTGTGAGTAAGAACTGCTAAAGTCTGTGTAGTGTGTTAAAAATTCAAGAGTCTACGACCGGTCAGGTCCCAGATATGTTCAATTGTAGACAGATCAGGCGATCATGGTGGCCAAGGTTAATAATAATAAATGATGTGATGTTGATACATGAAAATTAACTGGCTGATTCTCTGGCATTGTCTTGCTTGTAAAATAGGGTTTTGGATGGTAGTTGTTTATTCCCTCTGATGAAAATTAGTGGTGATGTGCTACCATAAGTAGTAGCACTCTATACGATAACTCCTAGGGTGTGGTAAACATGCCGCTATGTCAGATTGTGTGTCACGTCATCCACCACTTCGGTTTTTCACTCTTGCCCGACCATCGTGCATCTCCAGACAGAAGCGAGATTCAACACTAAAGACCACCTAATTCCATTCCCTGTCCCACAAAATTCTTTCTCTACACCATAGCAACAGTTACGCTGATGTTTAGAGACTATAAGAAAAAAGGCCGTCGTATTAGGCAATATACCATACGCATACCAACCATCCGTCCATGCTCTTCAAACTACTGATTTACCATGGCTCAAGTACTACTGAATTTGTTTCTTAGGGCCAGAGGACTTAATCGACGATATTGTCGCCACTGTGACGTACAGAACCCTTCGGTCGGTGTCCTCAGCTTTCATAAGTTCACGCTCGTTTACACTGTAGTATACTCCGTAAGGATCTGTTGGTCCTTCTAGAAGCTTCAGCAATCCGATAGGCACTTAGATAGACGACCCGGCGAATTCTACGCACTCTAGGTATTTTGAGGAATCAACTAAAAGGCTTCTCAATCAGCTACACGAAATTCACGAAATATGAATGCTTCTTTATTACAAGAATTCATGCAGCCGCCACTTAACAGATATACCTAAAAGTGTTATCACTTGTTTCTCACATACATCGTTATGTTAAAAATTAATGAATACTAATAAACATACTTTGGTTTACCTTTTCGTCACTCAGTATTGTTAGTTTTCACCTGAGTATATCGAGTATTTGATACACAGGTATTAACCAGTCTACCTTTTCTTTCGTATTCTAGCTAAAAAATATAGTCCAAACCTAGAAGATGATTAATTTGTTACATTTATGTAGTTAAATTTACATTACCCTATGGTTTAAAGAAATACTAGAAAGCAATTTAATTTTAATTTAAGGGAAATTAATTATAGTATTGATATCTGTATCGATTGATTAAGTATTGATTTATGATAACGCTCTGAAGGACATATAGCTTTATTTTGATAGAACGATCTCTCCCTCTTTTTTCTCTTGATACAGGCCTTACTTTTAGTAGAAATTGTTGATCCATATGTCCTTATGACATCCTTTTCTTCAAATTTATTTGTTTTAACTTTTCATGTCATTCTAGTTAATGTTGCCGATCATATTGACTTGATTTTTGATTAATTACACCAAATCGGTTTTTGGCCTTCTCTTTAAATATCTAAATAGATTATATTAGGCCATTTATACGTATTTAGCATTACGAGAGCTGCTTTAATTTCTTAATAGATGAAAACAAAAATATTTAGAAAAAAAATACGTTTTATACATTTTTGCATCCCAGTTGCCGAACATTTTTTCCAGTCAGTAGATTGTCTAAGCAAAATTTAGTTTGGTGTTAAAAATTGTTGTTCATGCAATTAATTTTTCATTTTTAGAAACGTAGGGAAATCATTAGAACCTAAGTCAAGGCTTTACGTAGGATGGGATGTAAATTCCACATTTTCAGTGGACAAATAATTCCGTATTTATTGTGCTGTATGGGAACTTTGGGAGGTCATTGTCCTGATGCAAACTGGCCATTTTTATTTCTTTTTCGCATTTCTGAGAACACTTCTGGCAAATAAATGGTTGTATACCATTTCATATTTATAGTTATCTGATTTTGTGATAATCAAAAAGTCAATAATGTTCTTGAAAACAATGCGACAATAATGCATGGCGTTTTGTTGCTTTTGCCTCATCTTGGAACATCCAAACACGAATCTAACTTATCGAATACTAACAATATCGAATACCAAATTTATTGCAGCAACTTTGCAACATAATTCACGATCTTCAGTTAAATTATATTGACTTAACATGCCAACATAATTTTTTCACACGCAAGTAATCCTGTAAAATTTGATTTGTTTCATTCCGATGTTCATACATGATTCAATCTCCCTACACCTTACATTTGATTTTAATAAAAACTTTCCATTTCTCTCTTTCCACGTACATCTCATTTGTGCAGATATTTTCTCACAATATTTTCTATTGTATGGGCTAATATTGCTATTATTTTCTTAAATACAAACGCACAATTCCTTCCGTCCACTGTTTTCATTTAATCGATCAATTTTTCCAAGAGTTTCTTTGGTTGAAGAATTTATTAAGGTCTGACCATTTTATAGTGGCTAACAATTGGCTATATTGGCACCTTTTGCTCCATTATTCATTAGTGCTTACAATCCCAGTGTAATAAGTGTGTGCCCTAACCTCCAAAACGTTTCAAAGAAACATTCCCAATCTTTATTATCATTAAAGATGTACAATCCGCGTTAAGATTGTGGCCAACGCCTGATAGTCATGTCAGAACCAATCCCCATTCCATTGATTGATAGTCATGGCTTTTATGTTTTCTTCTACGTTGTTTTAAATTTTTTTTCTGGTGTTCCTGTACATGTGAGCCATAGTGGACGGAGTCCAGTTGATCTCTTCACAACCTATCTGAATATGCTGTTCTCAATATGTGTCATGTTCTTTAGGCTGAGTGACTTTATATTACTGACATTTCACCGTTAAATTCTTAAAAAAACTGCATTTATCTTGTCTTCTTTCTCACTTGTTATATTTCGGCATAACATTCTTCTCTCTAATTTTTTTTTTCGAATGAATTTCTTCTTTTTTTATCAAGTGTTACTGTTTCGTTTAAATATGTCTTCTTCTTCTTCTTCTACTTTTTGTAGATCTTTCGATCTGTTTAATTCTGAAGCTGCCTCTGGTTAATTTCTTGGGAGGTAGATTGCCAACTATCCCTCCATCTTTTAGGTGGTCTTCCGGGGGGTCTTGAACCGGGCGGATTGTTTTCTAGGGCAATTTTTGGGAGTATATTCTCATTCATTCGTCTTACATGGTTGTATCACATCCTCTTGCGCTGCCTTCCCCATCTTACAATCTCTTGAGTTTTGCACTGCTCTCTGTTTAAATATGTAACAATTTATTGCTGAGGTCTTATACAATTTCATTTTGTATTTTTACGTATTGTCTTGTTCAGCAGCAGATTTGTATTCAGCTATGTATTTTCTTTCATGTCAGAACTAGTTCGTCTAATCTCTCCTTCCATTTTTTTCTATTGTCACTCTAATGGCTGAAAATGAATACTGCTTCAAACTTATAGTTATATGTAATCAGTCGTTTATGTCATATCTTACCGTTGTTGTCATCAAAATCATCTAAATCATCTCTCATCATATTCAAATCATCTAAATATGCAAATATGCTATTATCCCATGCCGATTTGTGATAATATTTTTGTTCACGAGGTTTGTCTTCCTGACTATTGTTTCCGAAGTCAAGTTGAATAGTATCGTGGAAACAAAGTGTCACTGTTTTATGCCTTTGTTTATTTTAATATCCTTCAAGGTTGTTTCATCGAATTTTATCTTCGCGGTGGTGTTCTTGTCACTATTATCGTTTTTATTAGTGTTGTTGGGATCTCAACTGACCCATCTCTTTCATCGTTTTACACTGTGAATAAATCGATGAATATTACCCGAATTTCTCGATTTTATTTTCATTGCTTATTTATTCTACTTGGTGCAAGTTGCCGATTGTTTGAGGATGAGGTCTGAACCTTCTGTCTTCTTCTTTAGGTACCGTCTCCTCTAAGCAGGTTGGTAATAATCACAGCTATTTTCACTTTTGAGATTACAACTCTGAATAAGTCAACGGAACTGAAATTATACCATTTTCTCAAATTGTTGAGCCAGGAGATACGTCTTCTTCCAATACTTCGTTTTCCCTGTATTTTCCTTGCAATACGATTTGTAGCAACACATATTTATCCCCTCTTATAACGTGGGTCTACACCCAACTTATTTTTAATATTCTTCGGTAGGTCCACACCTCGAATGCTTGAAGTCGATCGCTCACCTCTTTCTTTAAGGTCCAGGCCTCCACCTCATACAGCAGCACCGAAAACACATATGAATGTAATATTCTTATTTTAAGTTGCAAACTAAGGTCTTTTCTGCATAA